ATGCGCACGTTTTGATATATTACTTGTCTTTGTAGTGTAAAAAACTGTGGGAGGAGTTAGCGTGGCAAATATGGCTATAATAAGAAAAAGAATTAGATTTCAAATATGGCAGAGAAGAGCGGTTAAAAACAAACTGCTTCAAATTGCTTACTTCACTGGCGTCTTCACAATTTCTGTGGAAATTGTGTGGTGTTCTGGCCTCCACACAACTGGAGTGGGCAGGTTAGCTTTTGTCTCTCTGCTTCCTGCTCACACAGCTGGGTTCCTATGGCAACTCCCTCCACACCAAAGGGCAGAGTCATGGTTATAAACAAACTGCTCCAAGTTGCTGACATCACTGGCGATTGCCATCTTCAAACGGTTGTAGTTTTAAAAAGTATAAATGCTACCGTGAAAAGGCTTATATTGTGACAATCACAAGAAACAGACCTAAATTTTTGATATATAGTATGTCTCTGCAATATTAAAAATGAAGGCACAGTCGCAGTTTAAAAAAACGTCCCTTAAAATTTCTTGTGTCTAAAGTGGAGTTTCAATGAAAGTCAATGGGAGGAGTGAGGTGCAAACAAATGGTCATATTCTGAAAACTATCAGGAGTATGTCCTAGCCGTGAACATTTTTAGTGACAGCAGGGTTAGCTGAACGTTTTGATATAAGATATGTGTAGGTGGGCTTGAAAATGACATAGTTATGGCAGTTTACAAATCATGTTCTGATTTTTCCTTTCACACTGCAGCTTTCTCACTCTAATGTGACTCAGCTGCCCCCTGAGTGACCTTTGCTTGCACCTGTTACCTCAGTCAGTCACAGGTGTGTGAGGAGCTGTGCTCTAAACAGGCTGGCTTAAAAACTTGCCAAATTCACTGGCGATTGCCATCTTCAAACGCTTGTAGTTTTAAAAGTATAAATGCTACCGTGAAAAGGTTTATATTGTGACAATCACAAGAAAAAGACCTACAGTTTTGATGTATAGTATGTCTCTGAAAGATAAAAATGAAGGCACAGTCGCAGTTTAAAAAAAACGTCCCCTAAAATGTCTGGTGTCTAGAGTGTGGAGTTTCAATGAAAGTCAATGGGAGGGTGAGGTGCAAACAAATGGTCATATTCTGAAAACTATCAGGAGTATGTCCTAGCCGTGAACATTTTTAGTGACAGCAGGGTTAGCTGAACGTTTTGATATAAGATATGTGTAGGTGGGCTTGAAAATGACATAGTGATGGCAGTTTACAAATCATGAAGGCACAGTCGCAGTTTAAAAACGTCCCTTAAAATGTCTGGTGTCTAGAGTGGAGTTTCAATGAAAGTCAATGGGAGGTGTGAGGTCCAAACAAATGGTCATATTGTGAAAACTATCAGGAGTATGTCCTAGCCGTGAACATTTTTAGTGACAGCAGGGTTAGCTGAACGTTTTGATATAAGATATGTGTAGGTGGGCTTGAAAATGAAAGAGTGATGGCAGTTTACAAATCATGTTCTGATTTTTCTGATTTTTCCTTTGCACACTCTAGCTGTGCTGTGCTGCTCAATGCATTCCTATGGGAAAATTTCGCCGCAAAAAAAAAACCGCGATATTTCTTGAACGATTCGGCGAAACGTTCTACAAAGTAATAGCAATCCGATCGGGATCAATGCGCACATTTTGATATATTACTTGTCTTTGTAGTGTAAAAACTGTGGGAGAGATAACAATAAGTGTTCCTTGCTATGCAAGAACACTGGAACTTCCCCTTTTGGGTGGAGCTCCGCTTTAAGCAGCGCTTTTAGGCCAGATGTTTAGAAGGATGCCATCTATACTCTAGATCTCCCTCTTCTGATGTGATGACAGGTGCTACAACCTGACCCCTGTTCCTACACCACCCCCCCCCCGCACAGTTTGGGAAAGTCACACACCTCGGCTGGCAGACCATTTTGTATTATACTGTGTGAAGGTTTAAAATGCATTGCAGACATCATAGCTACAAAATTGCAGCATTAATATCGGTAACAACTAGACACCCTGACTACCCCCACATCATATTTTATTTATATTTCTTTTACAAATAATACAGTCTTTGTGCAAGGAGTTTTAATCTTTGCTTAAATTGGAAAGATGTAAAAAGAAAACCTTTGAAATTCCTTCTTCTTGTCACGGCACAGATAATAAAATATTAATGGCTCTGTAGTATATGTTTACCGCACACTCATACACCTTCAAAATGACACCGAGCTATTATTGAGCAGCATAGCATCCCATTCATCTGTATTCCCAATGCTTTCCCCGGCCCCAAAATACATTATTAATGTACATGTTGCCAGGGCATGCAGAGGCTTGTGGTTTGACAGCAACTGTTAAGACACTCATTAAATATTCCTACATTGGCGAAAGAAATCATCTGATAACTTTGCGACTAGCAGCTAATTGTCATGACCCTCTAGGCGTGCCCATACAAGGGAAAGTAACGGGATTGCATTTATGTCCCTCTTCTGAGCATTACATAGTCAGCTTTCTTTAGATTTCCCTATAATGGCATTTGACAATTGTAAGCACAAACAATATGGTACTTTGGAGTGTGTGGGAGCACGGCATGTGAGGGAGCACATAGATCACTGAAAAAAGAAAAGAAGGTGCTACTACCCATCCAATGCTCATCCCAGGAACTAGGCAGGTGCGTGATCCACAGTTGCTTATCCATCCCAGAATTAAATGAAATCAATCCGCACTACCGCCATTGCTCTAAAATCTTTGTTTTATTAAATCAACCACAGTAAAAACATCACAGGTATAAAAGTTGAAACGTTTCAGCTTAATAAGCCTTAGTCATAACCCATACCATTGACCTGGTCCCACAGTCGATTCTGCCTTCAGGGTGGGGCTCCGAACACATACATCACCCATACCTCCACCTTATTACCCTCTCCCTTCCCATCCCCCCCCCCTTCCCATTCCTCATACTCGCACACATCTTGAAAAGTTCTGATTGGTTAATCAAAAAATGAATGGTGAGCGCAAGACACAGAGAAAGAAAAAGTAAAGCAGCTAGCAGATACCTCCACCTTTCACGAGAGCATGATGAGCAACCAACCACCTCACCTAATAATTACATTTCTCTTCCTACCCTCCTCTATTACCCTCTCCCAATCCCACCACCACCCCCCCCCCCCTTTTCCCATTCCCCATACACACACCTTGACAAGTTCTGATTGGTTGTTATGAGTTTTTATGCCTCATTGTTTTTGGCATTTGTCCGTATATTTGATTGATCGCTGTGAGTCACTGGACATTATCGCTCCAATGCTCTTTATATATGAATAATTCCAGCAATGTACAGGAGATATATTCAATTGGATTCAGCAGTAAATCTGCACAAAGTACCTTATGCTCATAGCCGGTAATTCAGTTTTGCAGATCGGTGCTTCTGCTTCTTGTCCACGGGGAAGACAACAACGCTAGTGCTATTAATATTCCTGTGAAATACGGGTGATTCAATCAGAACCACTCCAACCAAGATATCCTGAAGCTACTGCTGTACTCCAAGGACTACCTTGAGAAGATGCTTAGACATCGAAGAGTTTACTTTTATTGCTTTTATTTTGTAAATAGGCAATGTTATTGCACTGAATTTGCACTGACGCCAAGTACAATGTTTACTCCTGAAAATGCAAAAAAAAATAATTTGACAAAAACGTGATATATTTCTACTTTTGTTTTAAACTGTGCTAATAACCTGTGTGTAATAATGTGCTGTAATCCTTCTTTATATTAATTCCCCCAAATGTCCTGTACACCAGCTGAAGCTTCATATTATGCTCACAGCAGGAGAGACTCACTGTTGAAATAACCGAGGAGGCAGAAGGCAAGGATAGTTAAAGCTGACTTTAAGGTTCGATCATGATTGCATAATATAAGTATGCATATCTCATACCTGAGGGGTCGCTGTGGAAGTTGAAAACAACAGCAGTGACATCTCCCGTGTCCTTCCCTACTGCGCCTTAGACTATTGTTTTGGGCTATTTTCTCTTCTGGTTGAATGTTTTTAAGCTACATCTTGTAATAAATGTTATGGAATGTTACATTTGCCATGTAAAAGACACCTTAATATCAGACAATAACATATCTCACATTTCCAGGGGTATTATGAGCAACTTTTGCGCAAACATTGACACATTGACACTGCTAATTTCTTTTATTTCATTTAAATATTAAAAAATAATAAAAAGAAAAGAAAGTCTTGAACTCCCCCCCCGCCTCCAATATGAAGTAAATGTAGGACTTTCAAAGTCATTATTAAATCAATATTCAATAATAATGCAGCTACAGCCTCCTGTTTGACAAATTGTTACAGTGACATATATGAAAATTACAGTGACTACATGCAAAATATATCCATAAATTAGAAAACAAACAAGTGTGTCAAATCATATTACGCAGTGAGAGTTGTAATTATTCTGTGATCCCCTTTTCATTTGTATGATGAGAATGGGCCACCTGACGGCGTCATCTGTGATGAAACGTGTCAGGTGGGGTCTATGGGAGTGATGTCATCATGCATCACGGTCTGATTGGACATACCGATAAAGCTTGGCAGCTCACGGGAATGCTGTTCAGATTGTTTTTTCCTTTTTAATCCAAACAACTTTTATAGCCAAGATAATAAAAAAGAATGGAACAGTACTTACAGAATCCACAATGACATTACTGCACCAACAGGATTACACATAAATAGAAATGTGGATACGCAGATTCCATAATGGACAGAATAACAGAAATAATAGTCAATCAGAACAGAGACGACAAGGATCCAAGGCCTTCTTGACAATACCTCACTTTTTCCTTTTTACCTTTTATTCCTTCCCGTCCAGATGTAAGCATAAATGGGAGGAAAGGAACAAAGCCAAAAAGATGCCTTTAAACAATTAAAAAAACAACAACAACCGCAACATCTGGGTCATCAGAGAAAATGGAGGATGCACATGACCTCCCCTAAGGGGAGAAGTGGAGCCACACACCTGTTATAAAATGCCACACCCAGGGGCGCACTGACAACTCATGGAGCCCCCGGGCAATAGGGGATCATGGGGCCCCTGTGTCCTTGGCCAAACTCAAAAAAGCCTATGAAAAAGGTACCAGGAGCATCTCATGGGCCCCCTACTGACCCCAGAGCCCTTGGGCAGTGCCCGAGTTTTCAAATGGTCAGTCCGCCCCTGGCCACACCTGATAAAGTCGGTCCAGGCCTAGGTGTATCCAGCCAACCCTGCCATACCTGCTGGAGCTTACGATAAGCATTGCGATGTCGGTACGTGAGTTTTTCCTGCAGGAGTAACTAATTAACATAATCTATCCATTGCTTACTAGTCGGAGGAGCCAACAATAACCAGTATCTTGCTATTAACTTCCTAGCCAAATAAAAAAATTTAGATACCATAATATACACTCCTGCTTGGAACAAATCTTGGTCCAGTGCTCCCAGCAGACATTGCAAGGGATCCTGGGGAACCGTATATTGCGGCACTAGAGAAATAAATTGGAGAACCTCACTCCAATATCTATGTAACTTGGGGCAGCATCAGAGCATGTGAATGAAATTGCCCTGTTGGACCCTACACCTCGGGCAATCAGGTGAATCATGCCTACCCCACTGGTACAGTTGCACAGGGGTCCTATACACTTGATGAAGGATAAACAATTGAGACAATTTATGAGAGGGAGAAAGAGAAATCACCAGAACTGATTCCAAGGCAGCATCCCAGACATCTCCAGCAAACTCTCCATACCTGGAATTCTTCTTAAAATTATGAACATATGATAGCGATAGGCATTTCCTTGCAAAGGAGATTTGGAAATAATTTAATTGACCAATGGCTGAAAACTTGAAGATCTCTGAAGATTCCCTAATATTGCAGAGGAGGCCTAAAAATACAAGTACAGTTAAAGCAAACATACACTGCATCTGATCAGCACAAACTAAAAACAATATTTAATTCATTTTTAATATTTAAAGCAAACTCCCCCATCCATCTATGTCTCCATTCTTTATTTGCTGAGAAATCACTCCTCTAGCATTTCCGGCAGTGGCCATGTTAAATAAGGGCACATGATCCATGTAGCATATACTTCCTGGAATCCATTTGCCCTTAGCTCAGGCATAAATGCGTGATTAGCTGATAAAAACCCATCTTCCCCTCCTGGGATTTATGGCATCATTTGCCAAGGACTAGAAACCATTAAGTAACTAAAGAAATGTAGAAAACAAAAGGTTAAAACAAGTAAATATGATATACGTTCCTATCTATTTAATAATGATAGCATCATAAGGATTAAAAATAGTCAATGTTGATTGAGAGAGTAAAGTTCCACATTAAGCAAAACTCCAGGGCCTAGCCTTAAAGGGAGGAAGGTTAAGTCCACAGTGGGAAAATGAACCAGAAATAAGAGAGGTGCACATCAAAGAAAATACAAGAATATTGCTGCTGTTAGGCTTTTAAGGGTCTGAAATGGCTGACAGAATTCTTTCAAAATTAAAAATGTTAATAAACGATTTGCAGAACTTGAATAATTCATAGAATTATATAAAATGTAAAGTCACTGCATCTTTTCTTTCTGCACCCTAGAATCTTTGCTGCTTTTTGAAAAATGCCCTGTTATTCGTGGAAGATCATGCACAAAAATTTCTTCATTCACAGCTCACTTCCCATGTATAGCAACCATAACACTTCCTCTATCCTTTTCATGGTGAAAAGAAGTCATTCTGTGTATTTTTTTTTTTTTACTGGTAAACAAGGGGTTTTAATCAACACCAAGTAATCAAGTTCAATGAGGCGGGAGATTTTATTACGAGGCGCCTGATTTTAAGAGTATATTGGCCTACATGCAGTGAGACGTTCAAGGTAAAGCCACATACAAGGAACAGGATGCACATTTTTTAAAGGTTAAAACAAATTTATTTTCTTAACAAGTAGTGCGGATGCTGATTTCACACCTCATATCTCCGGAGAGCAATACATCCTACTCAAGGTGAAATCTTAGATTTAATGAGCGGCAGAATAAATTTTAACTGTAGAAAAAAAAAGATTTTTTTTTTTTTTTTTTTCTAACAAGCTGGATGAATTACTGCTTTAATCAACTGCTCGTTATTACAAGGTCTTTGGGCACCCTAGATACTAAATTGCATTTTTTTAAATTAATCTCTTACGCAACCCCCACAGTAACTGAATAATAATGACATTTGTAAAATCAATAGCGTGCATGCTCTCCACTCTCTTCATTTATATTGGAAGCCATCAAGAATGCATTATCATTGAGCGATTCTGCATAAAACTGTACAGTACTGCTGCGCTCAGCCTGTATAAGAGTTGCTCATGCTAATTTAGATGTGGAATCTGGATTTTTAATGCAGCCTGGGACTTTGAAACTGACATCGGGGAATCCAACGGGAAAAGCAACTTTTATCTCAAAATCTTCTTCGTTCGCTGTCAACTGAGTGCAATTGCTTGGCAGCTTATTGCAGAAATCCAGGCACCCTGTTAACTGAAACCCAGACACGACTATAAGAAGGCCAGAATGTTACAGAAAAACTCCATGTAAACAGCTAAATATGCAGTTGAAATACAAGTATTGTTTTATGTGCTAAAGGATTTGCAATTTTGTATCATTGTGTCATTTCTAAACCGGCATCTCAGTCCAGGAAATACATTCTGATCTTAGATAATGTCCGAACGAAGATGGCCTATCTTTTAAAGAGGAAAACAGATGATGGTAATGTCAGGAGAGTACTGTGATCACTCGTAAAGATAATAAATAACTGTTAATAAATAACTGTGTGCTAAGCCAGCCATAGATGGTTTGAATCTCAGCTGGTTCATCAAAAACCGGACAAAATTTGTTCTATTTATTGGCAGGCTGATTGTAACCAAGTCAACCCATTGATCAACTTAAGTACAACCAGACTTTAGGATTTCTAGCATGTGACTATTGCCAGCGGCTATAGCCGCTAGCAATAATCATGGCTCCTGTGCCCCCCGCCAGGAGAAAACATTAGATTCATGTGAGGGATTCCCCCATCAACACTGACTGTGTTGATGGGGGAATAAAGTGATTTGCTTTCCTGCAATCCACTGTTGCAGGGGAGAAAATCTCATCCTCTATGGCTTGCCTTAGGGTATTATTATTATACAGTATTTATATAGCGCCAATAGTTCGCTGTACATTACAATGGGAGACAATACATGAGACAGTACAATGACAATACAGTGTGATACACGAGGGGTTCGAGGGCCCTGCTCCTTGGAGCTTACAATCTAGGAGGTATCTATGCACTATACAATCTGTAAAAAAAACTCCTGCGTATAGACACAAGGATGGGCTGAATAATAAATGCGTACATTCGTGCATTTTCGCACATGTGTGTACACATGCATAAAAATTATTCTATCCTTTTCTAGGTTGTGTCATAAATACTGTCCAGCAACCCAGAATTTTATCTTTTTTTTTATTACTGATCTGCAGTACATGCAGCACAAGTTTAAGCACCTATGTGTACAGGCCCATTAAAAACAATGGGCTGCATCTAGATAAGTAAACAAAAACCTGAATGCCTAAATATGTGGCGCTTTTAGGAGCTCGTGTGCAAGAGGCCTTAGATTTACCAACAAGTAGGTATTGCAAGAGCCTGCCTGAATGGATACAAAATGATTGAAAACATTTGGTAGGTCCTCATATTTCCATAGTTTTGGTCAGATTGTAACACGTATGGTTAGCCTTAGACTGACCCATTACTTAGCATGCATGTACAATGCTTAACATAAGAAAATATAGTTGGAGCTCCATAAGCATTCCCCTTGACTTATTAACTGCCAAAATAATGGCCACTACTCTGTACACATACTCTTAGACCTTTCTGCTGCGTTTGATACAGTTGACAACCCTCTCCGCCTCCAAAAACTCTACTCACTTGGCTTTCAAGATTTTGCTCTTTCCTGGTTCTCCTCCTACCTACCTATCAGTGCACCTTCAGTGTCATCTACAATTCCACAGGGCTCTGTCCTTGGTCCCCTTCTATTCTCCATCTACACCTCCTCCATGGGTCATTTGATAGTCTCCCGTGGTTTCCAATGACACCTCTATGCTGTCGATACCCATTTATATCTCTTAACTCCTCAGCTCACTTCTTCTGTTTCTTCACACACCACTAACTTAGATATCTGCATGGATGTCACAAAACTTCTTCAAGCTCAGTTTGAGATCATAATATTTCCACCCTCCTGCATTCCCTCCCCCAACTCCATCGAGCTCAACAGCACTGCAATCAACCACTCCCCTCAGGGTGTGAGGTGTAATCTTGGACTCTGACCACAGCTTCCAGCCCCACATCGAATCACTGTTCAAATCTTACCACTTTCATCCCTGCAACATTTCAAAAATTCTTGCCCTTCTTTAGAACTGACACCACAAAGGTTCCAATACACTCCAATTATATCTTTCAGCTTGACTATTGCAACTAATAAGGTACTCTCCCCCTCCACACATATCTACATAGGTTATCCCCCTTTCAGTCTATCATGAATGCTGCTGTCAGACCCATCCACCTATCCAACTGGTTAGTGTCTGCCAAACCTCTCTGCCAATACCTCAACTGATTTTCATTTGCCCAACACATAATATTCAATATACAAAACCATAGCGTACAAAGCCATCCACAACTCTGCCCCAAGCTACATCACCAGCCTCATCTCAAAGTATCACCAAAACCATCTTCTCACTCAATTGTACACCAACAAACTCAGGCTCCAATATAGGGGTCTTTTAGGGTCCTTGGACACCAAGCTTAAAAAACTCTGCTGCTACAGGACTTTTGCTTTGTGCATGTAGAAGCAGCTCGATGTTGTCTTATGTGTCCATGCACATTAGGACATTTGGAGGAATATTTTAAGCTCAGCGTTTAGAGGCAGAAAAAAAACTCTCCTGGATTGCGTTTTTTGAGAGGAGTTTTCTGGCAGAAAAAACACTAAACACGAGTATAAAAACACTGTAGGACTGTTTATTTTCTGCCAAAGAAACTGGCATTTTTTCTAGGCCTAATGTGCATGGACCTTTAAAGTTTATTGACAGTTTCAGCCAAACATGTGGTGTAAAATACCCAAGGCACACAAAAAAAACTCTGAGGGCATCTTCCTGAAAAAACTTATCCCACCAGTATTAGCAGTAGGCCCTTTAGTAGCAGCCTCAAAACTACTGCCAACGAAGAAAGGGCTGCTTATGATCCTAGGTCCTATGAAGTAGCACATCCTGGAGTATAGC